ACTGTAGGCTCCTCTTCTTAGAGTCCCTTAACTCAGTTATCATTATGGATCTTCGCTAAGGCTTTCTTTTCATGATGATGAGCTCCAAATCTCCAGACAGGATCTTTTCCTTAGCTCTCAACCCATGATCCAAAAGTACACCATCCAAAAACAACAACAACAACAACAACAACAACAAAAGTCCACCATCCACATGTCTGCTGACTCACTGGGATTTTTAATGGGCACATTCAACCTGAAATTCCCAAGTACAACTTATACTCCTTCTCCTGTGTTTTCTATGCAACCCACCTCACAATAAGACAGGAATTTTGATCATCTTTAATGATTTCTTTCCTCCTCCTCTTACATATCCAATAAATATCTGGTCATTTTTATTCTGACTCCTTTTTTTAATTAATTAATTGATTTATTTTTATTTATGATAGTCACACACAGAGAGAGAGAGAGAGGGAGAGACACAGGCAGAGGGAGAAGCAGGCCCCATGCACCGGGAGCCCGATGTGGGATTCGATCCTGGTCTCCAGGATCGCGCCCTGGGCCAAAGGCAAGCGCTAAACCACTGCGCCACCCAGGGATCCCTATTCTGACTCCTTAATATCTCCCAGTCTTCATTTTCACACCACTCTTATTGCCACTATTTCAGTTCAGTCTGACTTTGGTTCTTATTTGAAATACACCTAGATATTCATATTTGGTCTTTCTACTGTAGAATTTACTCTTCCAATCCATGCTCTGCCCTGTAAAAAGAATATTTGTAAAACACATAGTTTAAGAACTCTTAAGACTACTTCCAAATGTTTAAAAGATGGCATCCTGGGTTTTTCATGATCCTTCTCTACTCTCCTTTCTAGCCTCAGGCCACATATTCTCAGTTTCACACTCTGTGTTACTGCCATGTTGAATGGTTTTTAGTTCCTTGACTGCTTTGTGCCTTTCTTACCTCCCAGCCGGTCAAATAGCACTCCTTCCTCTTGGATACCTTTCTAATCCCAGTTCCTCATTAGTTCCTCATCATTCATCTTTGAGTGACTTCCTGCAGGAAAGGAAACCTTGGTTGATGTGCCTCTGGCAAAGCCGAACCAGCCACACCTAAGCAGGAGGGGAGTGGCAGAGGGAGAAGGAGAGGTAGACTCGCTGCTGAGCAGGGAGCCCCATTTGGGGCTGGATCCCAGGACCCTGAAACTATGACCTGAGCTGAAAGCAGACACTTAACTGACTGAGCCACCCAGGTGCCCCCTCTCTATAATTTTTATATTACAGTGAGTAGAAGTTTGTTAAGCCAAGAAGCATTAGGTAATGATTTTATTGCTGCTTTATATTCTTCCGTGTTATCTGTATTATTTTTTCAGCTTGGGTCTAAGAGATTTTATATAAAAAGTATCTTGTTATTCTAAATAATCTGTTAGAAAAATAGTCAGGTGTTACAATAATGTGAGAATACCTGCTGTGTTCTAGCCACTAAGTTGGCTATTTTATGCTTATTATTTTATCAAGCTCACCTCCCCCAAATAACTCTGACATAGGTAAAATTATTCCCATTTTACAGATTGAGGAATGGAAGTTTGAAAGTGCAGTGACTAGGCTTCGAACCCAGAATTCCTAATTCCTCAACTCCTGGCCTAGATCTTTCCCCTTTTATAATTTTAATTGATTCTGAGGATAAATAAAAATGAACTCTACCCTCACTTCTCACTTCTGTATGGAATTAAGTAAAACCAGCAATGACTTTCATACATTTTTATCCATAGTAAAGTCTCTATAACTGAGAGTGTGGGTTTTACTGTTAGTAATACACTAACCAGAAGTAGAAGTTATGTAGGAATGAGAAATCTGTAGATACTAACAAAACTGACATGAAATATGATGGAAAACATTACATACATGTGTTGGAGTTTTAGGGTAATGAAAGATCAGGGTATTAGGTTTGGGTTAGAGGGTGGGGTGGGTTTATCAATCTGTGTGCCAGCAAAGGAGCAGCATAACTTTGGGCAAATGGTATCATTCATGGCAGTGCCGGTATCATACCAATAATTTCAAAAATGTTTTTCTAAAGAAATGAAAAAGTTTAAAAGCAGAAGTAACTTTAATAGTGTATTTTTCATGTTAACTTAGCATTTGGTGAATGCCCTCCTAGTTAACCATGAGCAATATATGAATATAACAAAAATCTGGAGGAACGTCACTCAGCTCTTGCCAATGAGAGAAATTTAAATGTAAGACTCTAATGTATTTATCAAGGATTAAGGAATTATGGGGTAGAAATAAAAGCACTTTGACTACAGAGTCAGAGAAGTTCAATGTTTGGCAAGTTACCTTCATAAGCTTGGGTTTCTTCACTTGGAAAGTGGAAAAAAATGCTGCTGTCCAGCACAGTGGGTCACTTGAAGGTTAAATGAAAAGATGAACGCAGTGTGCCTGGCTCATAGTAGGGACTTGATAAATGCGGTCACGGTCAGTGCTGTTGTTGATGCCCATGTTCTGCTCTCAAGAAGGTGAAGATAATATTGTTTCAGTTGAGGACACATGTCCAAAGAATCATCAGATGACTTTCCATATCTGTGGAGATTCAACTCAGTTTTATGTGACATTAGCTACATCATACTGGGCTGAGATTTAGGGATAGTGCACAGTTGTTTTGGTTGCCTGCAAGATCTTGTCAGGAAAGAGTGAATTTGTTGTAAGATACATCTTCTGTTCTTATTCCACTTAGATAAGCATTTGTTTTTTTTTTCTTTTTTTTTTCAGTCTGGAAGCATTAATATTTTTAATGTTTCCTTCATTAATTAGAGAAAAGGTTTATTTCTGGTGAATTCTAAGTGCCAGATTTTAAACAACTTCAGTCTATATCTACTGAACCCATGAAAGCTGAATCAGTAAGATTACTTGCAACAATCATACATTATTGTGAATCAGATTATCTTCCCCCAAACTAAAACCATGCCTACCATGTCATATGCTTTCTGGTACATGTTTTAAAAATAGAGGAATTGGAAACCAGGAGAGATTATTTTTGGATTCAACTATGCTTTGTCTTCAAAAAAAATAAAACAAAACAAGGGACTCAGTTCTGCAGAATAAGCAAATTGGGTTCAAATTTTCTTTCTTAAATAAACCACTTGGCATTCTGTAGTGAACTAGTTCAAAATTTCAAACAAGTTGATGTAAACATCTTAAGTTCTCATTTGTTTCTGGATATAGCTAAACTTGTTTTTAATATTTTGGAGGGAATAATTTACAAGAAATATTTTTAATAGGAGTATTTGTGAGTTTTGAAGAAGAGTTCAACTCCAAGTTTGCTAGGAGTATCTTTCGTGGTGGCTCTGTCCTGTATGAATCCAAACTACATATCACGTTGAGCAAAGAAACACATTAAAGACTTTGATTTCAGCAAGCCTGTATGGTTTGATGGGAAGACTTCAAAATTAGTTAGAGCCCTATGTAGCTTTACCAGTTTAGGCAAGGTATTTAGCATTTCTGAGCATTCTGTACCCCATCTGCACAACTGTGAAACTGCTCCTTACTTTAAGGGCTATTGTGTGGATTAAATGAGATAACATCCATAAAATGCTGAGGGTGGTGTCTGGCACATAGCAGGGACTAAATAATATACTTTACCTCCCCTTTCTGGCATCATAATTGAAAATTTTATCCGTGGTTTGAGATTGCTTCTCTTTTGTCATAATTCTCTGTATCTAGTAGTATTTGGCTTTTAATTCAAGAGATAGGGAGGAAATCTTCTAAATATAACAAAATTTACTAATTCAGAGTAATCAGTAATTTACTAATTCAGTAATTCAGTAATAGCTAAAGTATCTTAGCTATTAATTCTTGGAATTTAGAATATTTTGTGAGAATGGGAGTATGCCACTGCATAGGAGCTAGATTACCAAAATGTTACCTACTACTTTCTACTTTAATGAGTGGATAGCTTTGAAATGTTGGCATTACTGATCATTATAGGATAATATACTGTGTAAACTATTTTAGAAAAGGGCTGTTTCCTTAATATTTAAAAATCTCCTTGTCATTTTTTTGCCCTTTGATATCTTGTTAGAGCTATTTTTTTCCCTTGTTAGAGCTATTTAATAATAAAAAAGTTACCAGGGGGGCCTGGGTGGCTCAGTCAATTAAGCATCTGGACTCTTGGTTTTGGCTTAGGTCATGATCTCAAGGTCGTGAGATCAGGCCCTGCATCGGGCTCTGCGGTGGGCATGGAGCCTCCTTAAGATTCTTTCTCTCTCCTCCCTCAGCACCTCCTCTGATGTTTTGTGTGCCCTTGCTCTCTCTCTCTAAAAAAATTTAAAAAAAAATTTAAAAAGTTACCAACTCCTGGCTGACTGATCCCAAATAATTAATTACTAGAATCTGAATTAATGCAATTTTAATTATTGCTAATTGTCTTATAGTTTGAAATCATGTTTCCAAAATAAGAGCTGCAGTCTAACTTTGATGTATCTTAGTCATGAAAAAAAAAATTCTTTCTTCTACCTTTGCTGAGATATTTTGATGTCCTGGGACCATCTACAATAAATACCCACAAGGAAATTGCATTCTCTTTTTTATTCAGCTTATTTCTTCTTGTATTATCACTTTCTCTATGTTTTACCCTTGAATGGTTTATTATTTCCAATTTTTTATTCTTAATAATCTTACAATGATAGTAATGTCTGAAGATAGGAAAAATAAGCTAAATAGGATGCAAGTAAGGGTTTTTCTTCTTCTTTTTAGGCTTTGGTGAAAACAGTCTTAGGATTTCTCTCAAGGAATTTTTTAATGTTCCTATTTACATTAATACTTCTGGAACAATTAGATCATTTAAGAGATTTGCTTCTGGCTACTAAGTAAGGACTGGACCAAAGGATGAAAGGAAAAAGTTGGGATAACTGATCAAAAATAGACTTTCTTACTAGTTTTAAATTACATAAGGAAATTAAAACCTCCTATAATCCTCTGGTTTTTAATTTGCTTTTAATGATTTTTTTTTCATTTTCTTTCAGAACTCTCGATGTTTCGGTGAGCTTTAATGGAGGAAAATCTGTCATCTCGAGTTCACTAATAGTCACAGCCACAGAATGTGTAAGTAAAAAGTTTGCATAAAGTAACTTTTTAAAAATAATTCCATCCAGAAATAATTTATGGATTGTCAGTGTTGTTGCATGCTGTAATAAGGAAGATGTAAACAATGACAGTGGAGACTACCACAAAAACTCTGTATGGAATTTATTTTAGATTTTTTTTAACCTTTAGCCTTATTAAAAAGAGATTTTAAGATAGTACAAATTTTATTTTGATATTTATGAAATTCAAGTCATATTTAAATTAAAAATAAGAGGAGAATGATTTTCCAATGAAGCATTTTCCTTGAAACATTAAATATCAAAATGGAATACAGTTTTTTCTCTCATGAAGTTTGAATTGTTGTGTCTAAGACTTAATTATGTTTTTGAAATTATTAGTATATCTTAATGATGACCTCACATTTTGTTTATTTTAAATGTTGGTGCTTTCTAATATGAGTAAGTAATTTGACTTTGATAGCTTGATATATCTAGATTAGAACTCTGTTTTGATTGAGATGATTAATTTGTATTACCTAAGATGCAATAGTTTAGAATGTAAACTTCATTGTTAAGACAGTGTTTTCTTTATAAAGTTTTGGGGTTCATTTTTTTGATATTTGATTGTTGAACATGAAAACAGCACTAAAAGGAACTGATCACATGGCTATTATTTTTATGAGTATAGTATCTTTTGAAAAAGTGCATTAACCAAAGCAAAAACAACAACAACAAAAAAACCCCTAAATTCTTGCCCTTCAAAAGACCAAAATTATAAACCAAAACATTTTCTCACATCTCATGGTCTCACAGTTTTATATTTTGATCTTTTAATCAGAGAGATATCCTTTCTTCCAAAAACAAAATAATCCAATATTATCTGTATAGAGACAATGGTCTTTCTCATTGTAAGATAACATAAGGAAAACAAATATCTATAGGGACCCTTGGGCCATTATTGAATTCTCTGGATAAGTCTTTAGCAACACCTGTCTCTGTTTTGAAAATACCTAGTTTTTTTTTTTTTCTCTTTTTATTTGTAATTCATGTTGCAATTTGCAGATTTCCTTGTCTCTCAGGATGTGGTTGAGATAACAAACATTTGTGGTAATAGAGTTTCTCAGTGTTTAGCTCACTGAAACAGCGTTCTTTCACCATCCTTCCTCTTATTCTGTGCCTCTAAGCCATCTTATTTCACCTCTCTTCCATGCAAGCAGGAAAATAAGTTTTTGTATTTTATAACCACTCACAGTTTTGGTGTGCAGGGATGTTGAGATTAAGTGGCTCATTTGGAACTTACAAGTCATGTACTTTTCTGAAAGTCTTCCTAGGCCTTTCCGATTCTCAGGAAGAGTACATTTGTGACTCAAGTTTAAGAGTAAGGTGATTTTTAAAAAAGTGACGTTGGTTGTGTCAGTGAGAATGTGGAGGGCAAGTTGTTATATTAAGTAAGGGATCAAAGAAATTTTCATTATTCTGTCAAAGAATAAAGACTTGAGGAAGGTGAGGGAGTGAACCCTGAAGACCACCCAAGGGAAGAATGTTTTTTATGAAGCAGGAACAGCTAGAACAAAGCCTAAGGAAGCACTCTATCTGACAAGTTTAAAGGAAGGCTAGAGTGGAGATAGCTGGGGCGAGCAGGAGTTTCAAGATTGGTGGACAGAGGGGAATATATTATGTAGGGTTTTGCAAGGATTTGAGTTTTTCTTCAGAGTGAAATGGAGAACCATTGGATAGTGACATGATATGACTTAATACTTTGAAAAGATCATTCTGGCTACTGTGTAAAAATAGACCTTGCAGGGGGCGCAAGTGTGGAAATACAGAGACCAAGTCCTTGGCTGTTTCAGTAATCTAAGAGAGGGGAGGATGGCCCCACTAAAAAGACAGCAGTGGAAATGGTAAGAAGTGATTGGATTTGGATATATTTGAGTAAATGTGGAGCATGTGGGATGCGTAGACAGATTATATGTGGTTATGAGAGAAGAACATTAAAGATAATTCTAAACTTTTCACCTGCGCAACTAGAAGGATGCATTGTTGTCAGGTAGAGCAGTGTTTAGAAAAAGTGGCAGCTTCTGTTTTGGAAATGTTGAGTGAAAGATGTCTATATAGCCATTCGCAGTGGAAATATCATAAAAGCAGCTGAATACACAAGTCTGGAATTCTAAAAAGAGGTCTGGATTGGAGATACACATTTGTGAGTTGTATAGAATGAAGTAGTCAACAAATTCCACATGATTTTTACTGAAAAAGAAAAAAAAAAGAGAATGGCTTTCAGGAGCTTAAAGCAGAAAGGAAAGAATAACAGATAAAGGTTTTTTTTTTTTAAATTAGAGAATAGTTGACATAATTGTATTAGTTTATGGTGTACAACATAGTGATTCGATATTTATATACATTTTGAAATGTATATAAGTAGTTATCATCTGTCACTACACAAAGTTGTACAATATTATCGACTATGTTCCCTGTGCTGTACATTACTTCCCTGTGTTTCATTTATTTTATTAAGATTTTATTTATTTATGAGAAACACAGAGAGAGGCAGAGAGCAGAGGGAGAAGCAGGCTCCGTGCAGGGAGCCCAATGTGGGGCTCAACCACTGAGCCATCCAGGTGCTCTTCATTTATTTTACAAGTGGAAGATTTTACTTCTTCATCCCCTTCACCAATTTCATCCATAGCCCCTCATGTCTCCCCTCTGGCAACCACTAGTTTGTTTTGGAAAGGTTTTGTATTCTTGGAGGAGTCTGGATAAACCAGGTCCTGAAAGGAAAGCAAGATTTAGGCAAGAAGAGAGGAGGGGAATGCAGATTATAGATTAATAGAAAAATGAAGTTGAGAGTTGATCTATTTGATTGGAGTGAGAAAGACTGGGAGGGAAGCTTGAAAATCGAAAATGTAGAAGAGATAATCAGTGGCCTAAAGAAAGAAAATTACCAGGTGGAGTTTAAAGTTCATCTTACAGGTCTGTGGTTCCTAAAACAGAGAAGTCAATGCTAAAATGTAAAAAGGAAAGAAAATGGATTATATTTTTCATAATGCTAGATCTATTCAACTTGAAAAAGATTTTATTCTGAAAGTTTTCTTTCTGCCATTTTAATTTTATTTATTTATTTTAAAGACTTTATTTATTCATGAGAGACACACAGAGAGAGGCAGAGACAGAGGCAAAGGGAGAAGCAGGCTCTGTGCAGGGAGCCTGATGTGGGACTCGATCCTGGGACTAGATCCTGGGACTAGATCCTGGGACTAGATCCTGGGACTCCAGAATCACACCCTGGGCCAAAGGCAGGCACTAAACTGCTGAGCCACCCAGGGATCCCCAACAATTAGCACTTTTCTAAAGCAGATTTTCTACACAAAGGGAGACCAGGAGCCTATTGCCAGGAAAAAAATCTATCTAAAGTTTAATCAAGTTGACAGAAAATTTAAGTCCATCTTGGTCAACAGAATAAGTGAAGTGAATAAGAGGGGATAGATAGCTCAAGAGATGGGAAAACCAGGACACTTACCAGGTAAAGGAGCCAAAGGAAAATGGAATTCCATATGAAAAGAAGGCAACATTAAGTGCTTCAGAGAGGTGAAGGAGAAAGGGTCAGAGGGGTCACAGTGAAGTCACTGTGAAGTCAAGTGATGCTTCAGCTCAGTGATGATTTATAGTCTTCTATAAATCAATTATTATAAAATAATAAATACTATGATTCACTTTATTGTATTGCTAATAAACATGGTGTAATTCATTTTTCCCATTAGAATTAGCCATTATTTTGTATTCAAACTCAAATACCTCTAGTGTGTGGTAGTAATGTTATCATTTATAGATATGAAAAGTGAGACTGTTGCCTTGAGATGTATCTGCTGATGTGTCCATTAAATTTCTATTCAAAATAGAATAGGATAGTGGGTAATATGATAAATACCCAGGCATTGCATTAAGTGATATTCAGTCTGTCAGGCATATTCAGAGATGATGAGATGCAGTTAGTAGTATTACTCATTATAGGATGATGCCTTTGGCTTTCACAGGCATTTGAAAGCCAAACAAAATAAAACACCATTACTTTGGGAATTGATTAATCCTTGTGGAAATCCCACAAATAAAGGAGCCCTTCTGTGTGCTCCAAGGGCATCCAGGCTCAGTTCTGTTAAAGGCACTTATGTCACTGAGCTGCAATTTCCTGTTTACTTCTGGGGTTTTCTTAGCCGGTTTTGAGTTGTTGACAGCAGGGCCTGTGCCTTGCTCGTTGCCTTCCTCCCAGTGTCTGGGCCTTATATAAAGCTTGTGCTCCAAGATTATCTGTTATATGAATGAGTGAAAGTAGCTGTACACCTAGTTTAAGAGTAGGGAAATGAAGGATGAGATTTAAGAGATTTAAGATTAGAGCCTGAGAAGCATTTGTATTTAGACAGTCATTTCTCTTCATCCATCTCAGAAGATCTCCTAAATGTGTCTCTGCTTAAAAAAATAGTGAAAGATATCTTTTTTCCCCTTGGAACATCTGTTCTTCTGATTCTTTTGACATAACAGTATCAAGAATGTGTTTTCTGAGCATGTATTAAGTGCCAGACACTGCTAAGCACTGTACATGTGCTAAGCACTTAATGACTTTAACACACACAACTCAAGAGGAGGCTATTCCTATTACCTTAATTTTACTGATGAGGAACAGAGCCACCTCCAATTTCTAGTGCACATTTATGCAAACACATTAGAAAGTGCTGCTTCTGTTGTGTAGACCCAGCCCTCAGCAGGGCACCTGGCTTGATGAGTATGAACATGGGCTGATTTCAGCCCTCACTGTCCCTGAGAGGGGGGTACTTGGGGCCTGGGGACTCTGGAGGTTAGATTCCCTCCCTGCTCAGTTTCACAGTCAAGTAAACGCTAGAATTGAGAATTGAATCCGAGTCTGTCTACCCCCCCACCCCCACCGACCTGAACACTTGTGCATTCTGCTATTTGCAACCAGGTTCTAATTTGATTTATATAAAACAGGGGTTGGCAATTTCATTTTTT